AAGCGAAACACAACCCGAGACTTAAGAATCTTTAAAAATGGTTGAATATACTCTTAGAGGGTAATTCTGATAGCGGTTAAACCTTAACCGCTATCTAATTTACACTTTAGATAGCGGTTAATGGTTAACCGCTATTATATCCTCCAATTATGATCGATCAATTTAAATTATGATCGATCAGGATCGTCTTTCGCTTGAGCGAGAGTAGTATCGCTCAAGCGAAATACAACCCGAGACTTCACAATCTAAAATTATTTTTTTGAATATTATGTTTTTTAATTTGCTATTAGAGAAAACCTTTCATAATTCAAAATGTTAAATACTTTTAAATATTAAAATTAACTTTATCAAAAATTAGGAAAACAAAATTTATCCAAAAGAGTTCAAAAATGTATAAGAGTATTCTCAATTTTTAGTTTAATTATATTGTTCATTCTCAAAGTAGAAAATTATATTGTAATTATTTTAATTTACATTTTGTGATCTTCTTAAAATTAGCATCAATAACATTAGACTTTGCATTTGATTCATACCTAACTAATTATAGATTAAAAGGAAAGTGGTATAACCATGCATTTTACTTCTCTATTTACCTTATTCTTTTAATTATTTTATATAATAATAATCAAAATATTCACATTCATATGGGCATTTTCGAAAATAATATTATTGTATCATTGTTAAAATTAGCATAAATAACATTAGACTTGACCTTCTTAATTATATTGTTCATTCTCAAAGTAGAAAGTTATATTGTAATTATCTTCAATTTATTAAAAGTGTAATTAAATCTCTATTTTCTTATTTTTTTTTGTTTCAAACTTCTCAATTCTAAATTTTTGTAACTTCTATCATTATATTATCATCCTCATCTCCCCATGTTCTACTTTATCTTTACAATAGTTAATATTCTTAAATAATCTATATTTTAATTATAATTTTTTCATATATATTTGAGAAATTAATCAATTCTAAGCTATTATTTGAAAAACTAATCAATTCTAATCAATAATTTACAAAACTAATCGATTATAAATAATTCTTTGAAAAAATTAGCAAATATGATCGATCATCTTGAAATTCTGATCGATCAGAATCAAATTTCGCTCGAGCGAGATAGAGTCGCTCAAGCGAAACACAACCCGAGACTGAATATGGTTGTATAAAGGACACTTATAATAGCGGTTAAACCTTAACCGCTATCTAATATACACTTTAGATAGCGGTTAAAGGGCAACCACTATTATATCCTCCAATTATGATCGATCATTTCAATTTATGATCGATCAGTATGGTATTTCGCTCGAGCGAGAGTAGTCTCGCTCGAGCGAAATGCATCCCGAGACTGAATCTTAAAATATTTTTTTGAATATTATGTTTTTTAATTTGATATTAGAGAAAACCTTTCATAATTCAAAATGTTAAATACTTTTAAATATTAAAATTAACTTTATCACAAATTAGGAAAACAAAATTTATCCAAAAGAGTTCAAAAATGTATAAGAGTATTCTCAATTTTTAGTTTAATTATATTGTTCATTCTCAAAGTAGAAAATTATATTGTAATTATTTTAATTTACATTTTGTGATCTTCTTAAAATTAGCATCAATAACATTAGACTTTGCATTTGATTCATACCTAACTAATTACAGATTAAAAGGAAAGTGGTATAACCATGCATTTTACTTTTCTATTTACCTTATTCTTTTAATTATTTTATATAATAATAATCAAAATATTCACATTCATATGGGCATTTTCGAAAATAATATTATTGTATCATTGTTAAAATTAGCATAAATAACATTAGACTTGACCTTCTTAATTATATTGTTCATTCTCAAAGTAGAAAGTTATATTATAATTATCTTCAATTTATTAAAAGTGTAATTAAATCTCTATTTTCTTTTTTTTTTTGTTTCAAACTTCTCAATTCTAAATTTTTGTAACTTCTATCATTATATTATCATCCTCATCTCCCCATGTTCTACTTTATCTTTACAATAGTTAATATTCTTAAATAATCTATATTTTAATTATAATTTTTTAATATATATTTGAGAAATTAATCAATTCTAAGCTATTATTTGAAAAACTAATCAATTCTAATCAATAATTTACAAAACTAATCGATTATAATTAATTCTTTGAAAAAATTAGCAAATATGATTGATCATCTTGAAATTCGATCGATCAGAATCAAATTTCGCTCGAGCGAGATAGAGTCGCTCAAGCGAAACACAACCCGAGACTGAATATGGTTGTATAAATGACACTTATAATAGCAGTTAAACCTTAACCGCTATCTAATATACACTTTAGATAGCGGTTAAAGGGCAACCGCTATTATATCCTCCAATTATGATCGATCATTTCAATTTATGATCGATCAGTATGGTATTTCGCTCGAGCGAGAGTAGTCTCGCTCGAGCGAAATGCACCCGAGACTGAATCTTAAAATATTTTTTTGAATATTATGTTTTTTAATTTGATATTAGAGAAAACCTTTCATAATTCAAAATGTTAAATACTTTTAAATATTAAAATTAACTTTATCACAAATTAGGAAAACAAAATTTATCCAAAAGAGTTAAAAAATGTATAAGAGTATTCTCAATTTTTAGTTTAATTATATTGTTCATTCTCAAAGTAGAAAATTATATTGTAATTATTTTAATTTACATTTTGTGATCTTCTTAAAATTAGCATCAATAACATTAGACTTTACATTTGATTCATACCTAACTAATTACAGATTAAAAGGAAAGTGGTATAACCATGCATTTTACTTTTCTATTTACCTTATTCTTTTAATTATTTTATATAATAATAATCAAAATATTCACATTCATATGGGCATTTTCGAAAATAATATTATTGTATCATTGTTAAAATTAGCATAAATAACATTACACTTGATCTTCTTAATTATATTGTTCATTCTCAAAGTAGAAAATTATATTATAATTATTTTAATTTATTAAAAGTGAATTTAAATTTTTAATACTAAAATTAAAAGATTAAATAATAATGACTCTAATTCTTTAAATTGAGTATTTAGAAACTAAAATTATAGTTTCTCTGTTTTAAATAATTAAAATAAATAGTTACAAATAAATCAGATATAATCATGGATTATTTTCTCATTAGCTGACCGATTTTATTTCGGTCGCTATTTCAATTTGTAATTCGGTCGCTAAATCGATCGCTAACTGATTTTATTATTTATGTATGAAATAGCCATCGATTTAGCGATCGAAAGTTTGCGACGCACATACATTGGTCGCTATTTCGGTCGTTAATTGCGACCGAATTAAAGTGGTCGCTAAATCGGTCGCTAATTGCGACGAATTAAAGTGGTCGCTAAATCGGTCTCTAAATGCAACTAAAATTAAATCGGTCGCTAAATCGGTCTCTAATAGCGACCGAAAAAATTCGATCGCTAATTTCGGTGGCTAAATGTGTTTTTTCTTGTAGTGATTATCTTATACTTTAGATGCTTTATCTATTTTTAGTTTTATTATTTGTTGTTTTGTTTGGTTTAATAATGAGTTTTATGGGTCTATTGTTACTTTAATTATTATCTTATTAGTATTTTATATTTATTTTGTTAAAATTTATTAATGATATTATTATTTGTTAGGTTTATGAGAAATTCAGAGTTTGACATTGATTGAAGCGGAAATAGATATGGTTGGATTATCAACTGGTCGCGTTACCCGATAGAAAACACAATGTAGATACTCTTTATCAGAAGTAGTTGTATGATTCTTAAAATAGGACCAATCATCAAATCAATGATCATATGAGTTTAGGGATTAAATGTTCAACCAGAGTTCAATCGAGAATTAAATTAAAGTTGAATCGGATTTAATAAAATTATATATTTTAATAATATAATAATATATTGAACTTAAAATAAATTCATCATAGTATAATAAAAATGATTTGTTGAATACATAAATAAAAAGAACATATCATCAAACAAATCGAGTACAAAACAATTAAAAAAAATTTTGTCGCTACACCTAACTTAAAAATAATTAAGGTTAAAAATAATTAAGGAAAAAAATTGTACCATATCTTCCATTTCATCTAATTTTAAATTTTATACATTTTATTTTATTTCAAAATATAATTATGGAACTCAACGATAACTCACTACACTTAGCTCACTGCTCACTTGTTAATATCAATTTAATTATTAATATCCAGTTTTAGAAACCATCACAATTTTAGAAAATTCTAATTTTAAGAAACCTTTATTTTAAATTTAGTTTCATGCTTTACAAATCTTTTCAAAATAAATATTTTTTTATTGTGTGACATTTCTGTAATTATTTTATCAAATTAATTTTTAAAATAAAAAGATTATTATTCTTACTTATTGTTATGTTTTCATGAATAATTATAGGACAGCAAGATGATGTCTAAAGGAAAAAGAACCAACATTTTTTTCTCTTCTCGTTTATTTGTCTTTTGGTTAAACTAAAGAACGAAAAAAAAATACAGGACAAACAAGGTTGTTTAGCCCTTTCTTAAAGAAAAAAGGGTGACCCTTAGTCCAATTTATCCCATTTTTTACCCATTCATTCTTAGTCCAATTGTTTGAAGCTTTAAAGTGTCCTGTCCAGTTTTGATATCACGAGTGATTGGATTCAAACGCTGCTAACATTAATACACGTATGTTTTCTTTAAAACTTAAAACAAAACAAAAAATTCAAGTTTAAATTTGTGCTTGTTAAATTTTTTAATATAATTTAAATTGTTTAATCCTAAAGTTTTCTAGACATATATCCTCTCATTCTTATTTATTTCCCATTGAGATTTATTGGAAATTTTCTTTTATTGGTTACAATTAATTTTTGTTATATGAACACAATTCATTACCAGTGGTGTGTCAACCACTCCTACGTCATAATAATTTGTATAAATATCTGTGTTATCTACATCAACACTGGTCTCATTCTGGTGGAAAGGTGAAGCAAGAAGCACCACCATGGAAGCCTGGTTCATCATCCTCGTCTCTGCGTGTATGTGTGTCGTCTTAAGAGCCATATTCTCGCTGCGCACCAAAACCATCAGCATCCCTCCGGGCCCTCTTCACATCCCAATCATCACAAGTATCATATGTGTCCGAAAATCCTTCGACCAACTCGAGTCACTTCTCCGAACCCTCCACGCCAAGTTCGGCCCCATCGTCACCCTCCGCATCGGATCTAACAGCTCCATATTCATTGCTGACCGCACCCTCGCCCACCAAGCCCTCTTCCAAAACGGCTCCCTCTTCTCCGACCGCCCCAAGGCCCGTGCAGTCTCCAAAATCGTCAACAACAACCAACACACCATCACCACCGCCTCCTACGGCCAAACCTGGCGCACTCTCCGCCGCAACCTCACCTCCGAGATGCTCCATCACTCCAGAGTTAAGTCCTTCTCCGGGATCCGCAAATGGGTCCTCCACACCCTCCTTACTCGTCTTAAATCCGACTCCCAGTCCAACGATTCCGTCAGAGTCGTCGACCACTTCCATCACGCCATGTTCTGCTTGCTCATCTTCATGTGTTTTGGGGAGCGACTCGATGATGGCAAAGTCAGAGATATCGAGGGCGTGCATCGTCAGTTACTTCTAGGTTCCACCAGTTTCAACATCCTTGATTTCTGGCACAAAGTTACGCGCGTTTTGATCCGGGGAGACGTTGGCAGGAGTTACTGAGGTTTCGCAAGGAGCTAGAGGATGTGCTGGGTCCACTTATAAGAGCCAGAAAACAAAAGCGAAAGCAAGCTAAGGAAGAAGGTGTTGTTTCGTATGTGGATACTTTGTTGGATTTGCAATTGCCAAAGGAGAAACGCAACCTCGACGAAGGGGAGATCGTGACGCTATGTAATGAGTTTTTGACTGGGGGTACGGACACGACTTCCACGATGTTGCAGTGGATCATGGCGAATCTGGTGAAGTACCCACACGTGCAAGAGAGGTTGGTGGATGAGACAAGGGAGGTGTTGGGTGAGAGAGTAGAGCGAGAGGTGAAAGAAGAAGACTTGGACAAACTCCCTTGTCTGAAGGCTGTGATTTTGGAGGGTTTGAGGCGTCACCCACCTGGCCACTTGGTGTTGCCACATGCAGTAACTGAGGACGTGGTTTTCAATGATTACTTGGTCCCAAAGAAAGGGACTGTAAATTTCATGGTGGCAGAAATGGGGTGGGACCCTAAGGTATGGGAAGATCCAATGGCGTTTAAGCCAGAGAGGTTTATGAATGATGAGGGCTTTGATATTACTGGAAGTAAGGAGATCAAGAGGATGCCCTTTGGAGCGGGAAGGAGGATTTGCCCTGTCTATAATTTGGCCTTGCTTCATTTGGGGTACTTTGTGGCTAATTTAGTTTGGAATTTAGAGTGGAAGGTTCCAGAGGGAGGGAAAGTGGATTTGTCAGAGAAACAAGAATTCACTGTGGTAATGAAAAACGCGTTGTAGGTTCATCTTTCTCCTAGGATCTAGACTCTAAACTCACCGCAATGTATAATTATAATAATTTTGTCTTCCAATCATGGTTTGGAAATAATTTCATGGTATATTATAGATATAAATGTTTTGGTGGTTATTGATTTTTGACGTGTCTATTGGGTTTTACATAAACCACCTAATAATATTCTCTACTGTGTGAATGCTTATGTATGTATCACACCAGGGGAGGAAGATTATGCATAGCATTGCCTGAGATTTATGTTGTGTGTTTGCATTGTTATAAGTTGAATTTATGTAAGATTTTGACTGTGCATTTGTCACTTTGCTTCACCTGTAGGAAGGTATATAGATCATAAAGTATACCAATAAATATGCTATACAGTTAGCCAAAATGGAATGAAAAAGTTTTGAAACAGAAATTTTGTTAGTCACCATCAAAACCAACTTAACAATCAATTCTTGCATGCACTTTGACATAAATGATTTCTCTTATAACATCAATCCTATACCATGTTTCTACAAATTTTATTAATGCATAATTTTTACAAGTATTCATATTTTTATAACTTTTTATTTATATTTTATTTATACTTCAAAAATAATTTTAGTATCATAATTAAATATTAATTTAATACAAGATTTTAATTTGAAATAATGATTAATTTATAAAAGAATATTTTTTTTATAAAAATTAAATTCTTCCTAAATTTTTACAGAACTAGTTTCTTTTATAAAATGATATAAAATCAAAATTAAATTACTTTTTAAAATTTATTTTTAAAATAAATATTGTATACCATTATTTACAAAAATAACTTTGTTAAAATTTTAGAAACTCTTGTTATCATATAAATAAATTCCAATTCAATTGATCATAAGATAACAAGTTAAAAACTCAGTACTAGATATGCTTTTAATTATATAATAGGTCTATCCAACAAAAATATTGTCAAACATACAATATTTTTTAGTAATATAAACATTTTTTTATCCATATATTAACGGTTATCGAAATGTCAAATTATATATACACGGAAACTATGAGTTGTTTGATTATATATTAAGAAAACATTAATGATTATACTAATATAATAATATCTATTATAGCTTGTCAAAAAAATATTATTTACTGTAAATTGTCTAAGCATCATTTTCAAAAATAATTTTAATTTATAAAAAAGAGTCCATTATTGATAAATTCAACCAAAAAAAAAATACAAATTACGTAAATGCAAAAGCATGGCTGTATTATTCAATTATATGTACGATAAGACGTACATGTGCATGGTTTTTTATTCGTAGTATAAAACGTTGGTACTGTTAAACAAACCTCATCTTGGTTTCTAGAATGAAGCTAGGTGTGGCTAGGTGGCACGGAGCACTTTTGACACATCATCCTATATCTCAACAAATCTTTCATTCTTCAAGATTTTATGAGTTTTTATCTGTTTTGCTTTTGTTTTGTGTTTTCCATTGCTATAAGTGACACTCTTTTTCAATATGATATTAGAGCTCTGGTTGTTACATTCCTATGGAGGTTGATCCCTCTCAAAACCCCACATCACCATACTATCTTCATCCAATTGAAAATTCATCTCTCGTGCTTGTCTCAACTGTGTTAGATGGACCAAATTATCACCAATGATCATGCTCCTTCCGTGTGAGTCTTGTCTCCAAGAACAAGTTTGGGTTCATCAATGACAGTATTTCACCTCCCAATAAGACTGACTCTCTATATCCTGCTTGGGAAAGAGCCAACATGATGGTTGTGTCGTGGCTTATACGATCTCTCTCAACTTCCACAGCAAGAAGTGTCATGTGGAGAGACACGACTTCAGATATCTGGTCTGATCTTGAGGAAAGATTCTCTCAAGGAGACATGTTCCGTATAGTTGATCTTCAAGACACCATATCAGCTCTCAAACAAGGAGAGCTTACTGTAACCAACTATTTCACTGAGCTGAAAATACTGTGGGATGAACTTGAAATTTTTCGTCCCTTACCTGTTTGTCGTTGTGTTACTAAATGTTCTTGCAGTGTCTTGGTGAACATCAAGAAATACAGGAGTCAAGACCAGGTGATAAAGTTCCTAAAAGGGCTCAATGGCAACTACTCCATAGTGAAGTCTCAAATCATGTTGATGGACCCTCTGCCACCAATTAATCGCGTCTTCTCTCTGGTTGCTCAACAAGAGAGACAAATGCTTGATGATGTAATGGAGCATCCTAAGATTATGGCAGTTGGAGGAAAGGAATACATCAAGACTAATTATGGTCGAGGAATCACTCCTTTTAAAGGGAATTCTGGATCTGTTGGGAGAGGAAACAATGGTAAAATATGTTCTCATTGTGGAAAGACGGGTCATACTATAGAAACATGCTATCGAAAGCACGAATTCCCACCTCACTTCAAGTTCACAAAGCAAGGGCAGCAAAACCAACAATATGCCAATACAGTTGTTCATGATGATAAGAAAGAACATGAACCATCCAAAGGTAGTCTGGGACTACATCAATCTGGATTTTCAAAAGAGCAATATGAAGGCTTGATAGCACTTCTACAACAATCACAAGTCACCAATTCCAGCCATGTCTCAAATCAGGTCTCTGCCAGCTCAAAATCCGTTAATGATGCTTCTTAAAATGGTAAAATTCATTCTAATCTTAATTCTTGGATTCTTGATAGTGGTGTTAGTGACCATATTTGTTTTTCTTTGAATTGTTTTGCTAGTTTTCATCAAATCCAACCCATTTATGTTACCTTACCAAATAAAAGCAAAGTGATAGCTAATCATTCAGGCAGTGTGTTTCTTGATCCAAATCATGTTATTCATGATGTGCTATACATTCCTTCTTTCAACTTTAACTTGATTTCTATTGCTAAGTTAACCACAAATCTTTCATGCACTCTAACCTTTGATTCTAAATAGTGCAAAATTCAGGACAAGAGTTTGTTGAAGACAATTGGTACAGCTGATATGCATGATGGTCTCTACATTCTAAGGGTGCCTTCTGTTCAAATTATGTCATATAATAAGTCTCCCCCTCATATAGTGACTACTATTAGTTTGTCTTCTGTTAATGATACAAATATATGACACTTTCATTTAGGTCATGCTTCAAATAGGTGCATTGAAGTAATAAGAAACAACTTTCCATATGTTAATCATGATAGGCTTTATGTTTGTGATACTTGTCACTTGGCCAAGCAAAGAAAACTTCCCTTTCCTACTAGTCATTCTCATTCAAATAAATGTTTTGATCTCATACATGATGATTTGTGGGGACCTTACTCCATTTCATCCCTCCATGGACAAAAATATTTTCTTACTGTTGTGGATAATCATTCTAGATATACTTGGGTTACTCTTTTGAAGCAAAAATCCGAAACAACTAAAATCATACAAAGTTTTATTTCATTGATCAAAACTCAATTTGACACAACTATAAAAGTAATCAGAACAGACAATGGGACAAAATTTTCTATGAAAGATTTTTATGCTTCTAAAGGTATAATCCATCAAACATCTTGTGTTTACACACCACAACAAAACAGTATTGTTGAAAGAAAGCATGAACATTTGTTGAATGTAGCAAGAGCTCTGATAATTCAGTCTAGACTTCCTACTGTGTATTGGTCTTATGTTGTTCAACATGCGGCTCACATCATTAATTTATTGCCTACACCTGTTCTTGATAACTTATCTCCACACAAAATTCTTTATAAAGAAGAACCTGATTTGAGTCACTTAAAGATCTTTGGTTCTCTATGTTATGCAAGCACTTTACCTATAAATAGAACAAAGTTTGATCCAAGAGCTGTGAGGTGTGCTTTTCTGGGATTTAAACCTGGAACCAAGGGTTATATCCTTTTAAATATTGAAATTAGAGAGTTGTTTATATCTAGGAATGTGGTTTTCCATGAACGCATATTTCCATATCATAAGAACAGTAATGACATAACTAACAGTAGTCTTGATTCACTTGATAATATCATTCCTTTCATTTTTGACTCAATCCCTCAAGCAGTCATAGATACTCATTTGACTGATACAGAAACAGAACCTTCAAATACAGCTGAACCACCAGAAGAAAATGAACCAATCCATACTACAACTACAGAACCACACCAAACCACAATTCTTACTCCTCAAGTTAGAAATAGAAGGTCCCCCTGGATATCTTAGAGATTATTATTGTAATGTCAACTTCATCTCATTCCTCTTCTGAAACTCTTCATCCTATTTCATCTGTTTTGTCTTATAGTAATTTGTCACCTACTTATGCTTCTTATGTTTTTTCTTTGTCCTCTAATATTGAGTCAACAAGTTACAACCAAGCTATCACCCATGAATGTTGGAGGAATGTTATCCAAGCTGAATTATTGGCTCTCAAGGAAAACCAGACATGGACAGTCACAGATTTTCCAGAAGGGAAGAATCCCATAGGATGCAAGTGGGTTTTCAAAATTAAGTACAGGGCAGATGGAACCATTGAAAGGCACAAAGCCAGATTGGTTGCAAAGGGATATGCACAAGTTGAGGGACTTGATTATCTTGACACATTCTCACCCGTGATCAAGGTAACCACTGTGAGATTGATTTTATCCATTGCTTCAGTACTGAACTGGGAATTACAATAACTAGACATCAACAATGCCTTATTACATGGAGATCTAAAAGGAGAAGTATACATGACAGCTCCCTTGGGCCTTGATTCTATTTTGCCAGGTCAAGTATGTAAGCTTCAAAAAGCCTTATATGGTCTCAAGCAAGCAAGTAAAGAATGGTTCTCTAAACTCTCTTCTTTCCTCCTTATTGCTGGATACATTCAATCTGTGCATGATTATTCATTGTTCATAAAGTCTAGAAACAATTCTTTCACAACACTCCTTGTGTATGTAGATGATATCATCTTAGCTGGGAATGATCACAAAGAAATTTCAAGAATCAAACATGCTCTTGATGTTTCTTTTCGCATAAAAGACTTGGGAAACTTAAAGGTATTTTC